CTCTTCTTTTATGCATGTATGACAATCCCTCGTTTCATCATATAACGGGCAGCCAGTGGCTGTCAGGACTGGCCTTCTATTGTTTAGACAGTACTTTCATGGGATGAAAAATTCTGTCAGCACTAATTCCCTCTAGCTTTAAGCAATATTTTCCACATCGATGTCTTCAGTGGATTTTCTATTTCTCAATATTTTCCACAAAACAGCAATGGTTTATGTGAGATACACTGGAAGAGACATATTTTCACTCCCTCTGAAGTTGCTGAGCTAAAATGGAAAGTGCCAACTTCAACCTTTTTTACTGCTGATTTAATATTCAAATGTGTTTGAGAATGAGGTATTACATGCATCAGAAAACTTTTGAGGGTGAGCTTTGTGGGTTTACTGCTTTTCTTTCTTATTTCTCATGCCAGCTGAGACTGCAGTAGGGATCTGAATGGACGGTCTCTTAACAGTGCCCTGTGTACTGCTGCTAACTGTAGATGATAGTGCTTAGCTGTTGTTATAGACTTATTTTTTCCCCAAAACTGATCAATATGGATGATGCCACATTAGTATTACAGATCAAGACTGTAGATTGCATATAGATAGGTTCTGCCTTAATATAACAAGTTACTTGAAGTAAAAGAAATGGAGCGACTATCCTGATGTCACGCATACTGAGCCATTAACACCTATTTTAGCATTTCAAACAATTTTTCATTCTTTACATTTGGATGCAGGTTTTTGAAGTAGTCAAAATGCCAAATTATTGATTTTTTTTTTAATGAAATAGTTTATAATTTAAGTTATATAATATTGTGTTTCACTTATATTTTTCTTTTTAGCCACGTGACAGAGGGAAGTATTAAATTCTGGAAATATAGGAGATTTGTAACTGTTACAGTTGGTTTCGTGGACCTAGTCGAGCCAATTCACTGTAAACCATTTTAAATTCAATCTGTCTATTTAATGGAATAGTTCACCCCAAAAAAATTAAATTAGCTGGAACTTCACGCACCCTCAGGCCATCAAAGATGTAGATGAGTTTGTTTCTTTATCTGAGCAGATTTGGAGAAATGTATCATTACATCACTTGCTCACCAATGGATCCTCTGCAGTGAATGGGTGCCGTCAGAATGAGAGTCCAAACAGCTGATAAAAACATCACAATAATCTGAAAGGAATCCATACGACTCCAGTCCATCAATTAATATATTGTGGTGGGAAAAGCTGCATGTTTATAAGAAACAAATCCACCATTAAGACATTTTTAATTTCAATCTGTTGCTTCCGGCTAAAATGATATTTTAGTCACTCTATCCATGATATTGCTTTTTTCGGTGAAAAAGTTGTCTTGTCTGAATTGAGAGAGAAATATGCACAGATGTGATGTTTTTATCAGCTGTTTGGACTCTCATTCTGACGGCCCCCATTCACTGCAGAGGATCCATTAGTAAGCGAGTGATGCTAAACTTCTCCAAATCTGTTCCAATGAAGAAACAAACTCATCTACATCTTGGATGGCCTGAGGGTAAGTAATTTTTATTTGTGGGTGAACTATTCATTTAATTGACGCAACTCAGTGGGACTTTATGCAGTTAAACTCTCTGCAGTTAAATTTGCCTTTCAGTAAAACAAATCAGTCTTAAAAAATGACTTGCATTTTGTCTAATAGCTACAATACTGTTTCCTGTTTTTTTTCTGAATATAATAGTCATTAAACCTTCAATATACTCGTTTCCTGACTGCGTTAGTTTTATGTTGGGAAAGAAATCAACAATATGTGCAAGGGGATAAATAAACCATTTGCACTGAAATTTCTCTTACTTGGAAGGGTGTGATGAGGGACGGTTCTTATTCCAGATATCATTACCCTGTTACCTCATTTGAATTGTTCTCTCATGTTGCGTTGTTATATTTGCAGTTTTTATCTGAATGTCAAACCTAACATTTCGTTTTTGTCATCTGTAAATGTCTAAATGTTCCCAGTAGCTCTTGATGTTACATGGCACTAAACAGAGAGAGAGCGGATGTGGCTGAGTTATTCGGTTGTTCTGCAACAGTTTCAAGCCTCAGCAAGCTGTATTTGTTCATTTGTTATGATGAGGAGTAGTGAGTTGATATACCCTCTCTGACCAATTTATAATTTACCAAGTTGTACTCATCCTGATTTTTCTCTAGCAAATTTTTACAGAACTCTTATCAATAAATTAAGGTTACTGATTACAGTATTATGTAAGATTTAATTGACAATGTATTGTCGTGTCCTGTATTTTTAAAAATCTATTCATTCATGTCTGTCCATCTTCTTGAAACATAATATATTTATGATGACATGATTAAATACATGAGTAACATTTGCCTCTTCTGAATTTGTCTCTTCTTCATTTTAACTGAATCACAGTGTGTGTGTGTTAGGCCATCTTATGCCATCTTGAAATGAAGGCTGTTTTAAATGAAGTAACCATAAAAGAAACCATATGTATCTGCTAGCAATTTACTTAAATCAAGATATGAATTTACTTAAAGAGCTCTCATAATGTGTTTTTTTTTCTTGTGATTATTGTAATAATGTAAATAGACCACGCCATGTAGTGTAGACCCTTTGACAAGTTATTTTAAGACGTAATTATTATAATTATGCATTTTTATAGTTCTATATATAGTGACTCACACTTAAGAATTAATTAAATTACACACACACACACACACACACATATATACAGTATCTCACAAAAGGGAGTACACCCCTCACTTTTCAGCAACCATTTTAGTATATCTTCTCAAAGGACAATACTATAGAAATGAAACTTGGATATGTTTTAGAGTAGTCAATGTGCTGCTTGTATAGCAGTAGAGATTTACTGTCCTCTGAAAATAACTCAGTTTTTATATTTTATATATTTAAAGCGAGTTTTTGGGCAGTGTAGAGTAGTGCTTGTTGTTTGTCATTTCTCCGATCACAAATGCAGACATGGTTTTATGTTTACACGGCGTGATGCAACGCAACGTATAAAAACACAGTATAAGTCATTATAAACCCATAATTATGTCCCCACTGGATGCAAGGAATGCCTCGTTTATAATGGGTTTTCATGTTTTTGAATCATCGCTCCGAGTCCGGCCTGACATGGCATCATCACAATATGGTGAGGGGCGTAACATTTCCGTCACACGCTT